TCTTCCTCTGTTACCATTCCTTGAGACACATTAAATGAGGTGACAGCCACAACCATGAGCCACGCCACCCCCTGCAGAAGCTGTCCATGGGAAAAAAAATAAAACTATGGAAGTCAGATATCATATACTGAACTGATCGGGTATTTGAACACCAGAATCCAGTCCCACTGTCATTTCTCATCCTAAAGAAAAACCCAGTGGGGACCTTTGCTCACTATTCTTATTCCCAGCATAAAGATAAGAATGGTAAGAAAAAGTTTCACTTGCTAATAACCACAGATTTGTATGCTGCTAATTCTCAGTTCTTTCACTAACCAAGCTCCACCTGAATATTACATCTGTTTAAGAACCAGTATCTCTGGAAGACCTTATTAGCTTACAGGGAAGAGAAAGAAAACTATACACCATTCACCTCCCTCTTTTGCCCACTGAAAAACCAAAGTCAAAACCAACCCCGAATCACCAATCAACGTGGTCTAAATTCAAAAACCTCACTTATTTCTTCTGGGGTATGTGCTCAAAACTTCATTATAATTTTCTTTCCCTCTCAGCCTTTTCAAACATTCCCTACCACCACAAAAAGGTGGAGATGAAGGCAGCTAAATAAAAACAAGAATGCTTTATCCTTAAGTTTTTAGTTAGTATGTTTTTAAAGGAGACAAACAGCACCATCAGCAAACCACCAGTAAACAACAAAATAAATAAGAATCAAAAAAAAAGACCAGCTTCAATTCCTGTGCTTATGTTAACCAGCTGGTTTTGCCTTCTCTTCTTTTACAATCTCCTCATAAATAATCTTCGTTCTCTTCCTCTGGCTTTTCATAAGTAAAATGTTACAAGCTACATCCTTTTTTTTTTCCCTATAAAGTGCTCCCTACCATCACCCAATCTCCTTAGCTTCTTATTTTTCCATGAAAAATGATAAAATTAAGCTATTCTTCTGAAGAATAAAAAAAATAATTCTGAAAGCAAAACTAATCAGTATCCCTTTAATTTTGTTCTGACAGTGCCAATGGATTTACCAAAAAGCTTTCCATCAGATAGTTACATGGGAAGTCAAAAATAGGAAAAACATACTGTAAACAACTATCCAGTTTGCTTGTGTAATCGTCAAGTAAAATGGTCAAGTCTGGGGCTGCACAATGATAGAAAATCTCTAATTTTAACACAATATTAGAAAAACAGATCATCTAAGACAAAATACACACACCATCAGATTGAAACCTCAATAATACAAACCCACTGAACTGAGAAACTGAAGTTGATTACGACACCAAGTACCCAGATACAGATCTAAATCCCATGTTGTGTTTAACCCTGCTGTAGTCCACGAAGATACACAGGATATCTTTTGCTCTTTTACAGCCCATGCATACCTAGAAACACGACACTTAATGCTTGCACATTTACTAAAGTGATTACTAATAGGTTCTGTATGGAAAACCAAAAAAATAACATTCTTCTATTATTTTCTTGAATATTGCATAGAGCAAAACATATGCCTCTAAAATTAATCTAAACTCAACTTACAGGTTATGACTGATAATAAAAGATCACTGTATCTCTCAGGCATACAATTACTGTGACTTTTTACAGGACACAAACTGTCAAATACATACAGAGTCCTTTTACTATGCCTGCTATCTAGAATGAAATCTTCATTCTTCAGACACACCATTCAACTTTCAAAATTCAATCTAAACCCCAAATGCTGCTCCAATTCTGATAACCCCTCTTAGCTAAGCCGGTTGGTTGGTAGTGATTTGTCAGATAAGTTACACAATGCTGGTTCTGTTTCCTGATTAGATAAGCAAGTAAGTGTGTTGAGTTTTGGTTGGTTTTCTTTTTCCCCTAGCACAAACATTTCTGCATAATTTTTTTCATTTTCTGTGAACACTTACAACTTGGTAATCTCCTCTCCACAAACCTACAAGCCAGTAAAAGTCCACCATGGCCATACTGCATTTGCTAAAGGATACACAAACCAAGTATTAGCATGAAAAAGCAATTCCATCTACAAAACTGAACAAATGTTCAGGAAATTTCTCTCCACTGTGCTGCCTACATATACACTGCAGAATAAAGGAAAGCAGTGAGCAATATTTCTATGTTTTTACTTCTGCCCAAAGGAGGGGGCACAGGGGCACATGGCCTCGGTACATCCTTTGCATTATAGAAAGGATGAGCACTGCCAGACTGCAACCCTTTTGCCCAGGGATGTGCTAAGTATCAACCCCTTTGTCAGGCAGAGATTTCACAGGGTTCCTCCCCACCACCACTGGTAATACTGCCTCCCAGGCCCCCACCTGGGTAAGAGGGAGAAAGAGCAGCCCACCACTCTAAACATCTACAGTACACAACCAGAAAGGAGGCAGTGACAGGGGGATGAAGCATTTTTTGACACCCGACAAATTTTTTTCCTATGGATCCAAACTGAAACACCTTGTCACACTCTGGAGGGGACCACAGTTTCCCTACCCTTTCCCCCACTGTGTTCTCCACGCACAGTTTCATTAGTCTAAAAAGGCCCCCTGCTTAACCACTCACAAGGGAATGGCCACATGAATCTGGTCATATCAACTGAAGTTGACAAAATGCAGACAAATATTAGAAGAAGTAAAAGCAGTGAGATCAGATTTTACACTATCCTTCTCAAACAGGACACTAATTTTTGATATCTGAAGTCCTGTCCTTCCGTCATCCCCCCCTTACACAAATAAAGTCTGATTTTTGTAAGACACCTCTTACAATCTCCTGGCACCACAAATGCCATATGAAGACCTACTCAAATAGATAAGAAAGCAAAGAAAAATTCATTTGGTTTGGTGTTAAGACCTACCATGACCACAACCCTTGTCTATGAACAAAGCAGACAAAAGAAGTCACTATGTCACACAACAGATGCGTACAAGATCAGAACAAGTGCCCCAGAATTTCTGCAAGCCCACGAGCTATGTTTTCTGCAGACCAATCTAACCCTGGAAATTCTTCCCACCTTTACTAGTAAGGATAGTGAGGCTCCAGAAAGATTTACAGTGGGCATTCAGAGACATGGATGGGTGTGGTGAAAACACCTGTATTAACACACTGCTGAAGTGAATACAGTAGAAATATTTCAACACATACTATTTCTTCAAACTTCTTGAAAGTCCTTTCTAAGTGATCCAAAACAAGTTACTATTTGGAAGCAATAAAATTCCTAAAGCTTTTTATTTTCTAAATATAACAGTTTTGTTTCTTTAAACTGTGTAACAGTGCAAATACTATGAAAGCTAATAAGTGCTTCACACCTCTCACTATCACAATGTCAGCAGTGACATTACACTTAGGTTGGAAATAATTTTTCTGGATACTGAGTTTAAATAGAGCTCCTTTGATGAAGTCTATAACCTCCCTAAAACCAAACAATGACAGAATAGAGCTGATAATCTATACTGAATTGTTCTAAGAAACAATTTGCATATTATGTATGACTAAGGAGCAGGGATGCGTTTCAATCTTTATGTCTCAAGTAAGCTTACAGTAACAATTTGCGTTCAAGGACTTCTAGGCAGAAAACATTTTATCTCAAAAAATTAAGATCCTTATGAAGGCCAAGCTCAAGTAGGGAAATTTTTGTTTGATTACTTTTGAATCAAACATACACTCAACATTACTGGTAGATGTACAAACTGTTTGAGCCTGGAACTTTTTAGCCATACTATATTACATGAAAATCCAATCTGCCTGTAACTTGCTTTTGGGTCGGCAAAACAGATACGTTCAGGCACGTAAAAATCAAGACAGGAATATAACCAAGCTTGGCATCTCTATAAAGGTCTTTGAAAAGGGAGGTTTTATGATATTTTAAATAATTTTATTTAATGTGTACTCCACACAATTTAATAGTTTATCACACAACTCTATATTATTAGTTCATTCTTTTTTCAAAAGCTTGTTTAGAAAACACAAGATGTCTTTTAGCTACAAAGATGCTCAAAATTGAACGCACGCGTAATGACAACTATAGCATAACAAGAAACTTTGCATCATTTCAGAATATATGAGATGACATTACAGGTAATAGCGGGATTTCTCTCAGCATCAGTTACGTCACACTGAAGTTTTACTATGATGGGATCATTCATTACAAACTGACTTCACAAGAAGTATTTCTCGTGACAGAAAGGTTGTATATGTATACTGCTTTCTTAATGGAACAGAAACAGAAAGCTACATGAAAACATGTCCCAAACCATTTCACTAGTTGCATGAGGTTTTACCTCAGCATGTTAACAGCGCATGTCACACAATGTGTAGATTTGATTTGCCCACGCTCCCCATTCAAGTCTCTCCTCTCAACTGACAGAACTGTGTCAGGCATGACATATTAGCAAATATCATTAGCCTGGAATTTGCCTGTTCATACTTACGGTACCAGAAAACCTTATGATCAGAAAAGCAAATGACCAGTATTTGGTTTTGCATAATAAGGCTTAGCCTAACATAAGATAATATAAGATGCTGGCTGCTCAGTTGACTGTAAGTCACTCAGCCATGAGGATGAAAGAATAAAATGCGACTTGAGCTAAAGTGGATGAACCCAAAGATGGTAACTGTTTCTCTCTGTGAGTGAAAATGTTTTTCACTAGTCACTAATAATATAACATTTAAAGTTGATGCACAGGTTTATATGGTCATCCCCACAGAGAAGCAAACGAAACATTGCATCAAGGGGCAGGGTCCTCGAAAAAAATCCAACATGGCCACTGAGGTGTAGTTGTCTTTTGACTTAAAATTGCCTTATCTTTTACCACATCTCTCAGTTGTATGCATACACCTGTTATACTTCAAAAGAAGTTGACACGGTGACAGTCATCTGCGTGTATCCAACCCTGAAACATTCTTCATGACAGAGATACCCATATGCTATTAAACTACCCTGTCAAGGCCAAACCACAGTCATCCACAGCCACCAAGAGACAGACAGGTAGAGAGGTGTGCCAGCACTATCCACTTACCTTCTTTATTAAGCCTCATAACCTCCCTGCTTTTTCCACCCTCCTTTCCAGTCTCTTCTAGATCTACACCTGCAGAAGAGAAGCAGAGTCAGGAAGCGGCGAGGGCCCAGAGGTGTGCATTTATTGTTTGGCGGGGGGGGAGGAGGAGAGGTGAGGAGGTGAGCAGTGTTTCTATTTGCAACAGCAAAGGCACAATGGTCGGAGCATCTGCCAGGGAGCGGAACCGCCGGGCCCCCGCGGCAGCACCCTCCAGCCCCCACCCCCCGCAGCATCCTCCGGCCCCTCCGCGCATCCTCCCCCTCGCCCCCTTCCCCCACCGCGGCGCCGGCCCAGCGGCGGATCCCGCGCCGCGGGGCAGCGGCACGGCACGGCACGGCACGGCGCGGCTCGGCACGGCGTGCGCCAGCGCCTCCCGCACACATGGCACCGGGGGCTCGGCGCGTCAGCTGAGCGCCCGGGGGGGCGGCACCTCCCACCGCGGGGCGCGGGCCCCGGGGAGTACGGGGGGGGGGTGGCCCGGCCGGGCCCCCGGCCCCTGGCCCCGCCGCCGTGCGTGCGCTCCGGGGGAGGGGAGCGGCGTGCCGAGCCACGGGCCGGTCCCTGCCCTTACTGTGCGGGGGGGCGGCGCCGTGCGCGTGCGGGGGGGCGGCCTCCCGCACCCAGGCGGCCCAGGGCTGGCCCAGGAACGCCTCGGGACTGGGCACGGGCCGCTCCAGGGCCGCCATGGCGCCGCGCCTGCTCCTGCCTCCTTGTTGCTTTTCCCGTTTCCTTCGGCGGCGGCGGCGGCGAGCGAGCGAGCGAGACACGGGATTCGAGAACGCCGCACGTCATCCTCGGGACGTTCCGCCGCCCACACGGGGGTAGTGTCAGCCCCTGCTCCCTATCAGATCGGGCTCCCCGCAGCACAGCGCGCATGCCCGCGTGCCCCGCGCCTGCGCGCCGCGCCCCGCGACGCCGCCGGCAGCCGGGCCTGCCGCCCGCCCCGAGGGGGCCGCCGGACGCGGGTCTCTTCCGCGCCTAGCGCAGCCCCTCCGCGCCCCTGCGCAGCTCCTCCGCCCGGCGCGGCTTGGCCCGGCCCGGCCCGTTCCGGCGGAGCGGAGCGGGGCCGGCTGCGGAAGAGCCTTGCCGGGAAGGCAGCCGCTGGCGTTGCGCGCCCCGGGGTTACGCGCCCCGTGTCTCGCAGCGCCCCGCAGTAAGTCCGTGGGTCGCGCCCTCGGTATTTGCGGCACGACCCCCGCGGCCCAGCGCGGCCCCGGGTGGCGGTGTCGGGGCTCCCGGTCTTCCCGACTTCTTCCAGCTGCCCTCCTGTGAATCACCTATAACCACAGCCACAGCCATTTTGTTGTCCAAATACTACCTGATCTGCGTTTAAACGCAGGCTTCGTCTGTTTGCAAATGGGCTTTTCGTTGTTTTGAAGTCTTAGGCTACGGTACGGCAGCTCTGAACTCGCAGGTCCCACTCCTCTCAAATAATACTGAGGTTTTCGTCTCGCTGTGTGTAACCCACGGGATTTACATTCCTTTCATTTAATTTTAGGACTGTGTAAGTTTTGGTTAATTTTTTCTTCATTTAGGTAAGGGTAGAAAATAACACTACTGGGAAAATTTTTGTCCTCAATATACCTGATGTGGGTAAGGAGTTATGGCATAAACCTATTGCTCCAGCTCACACCTGTTAAGCCAAGCATACCAAAGCCAAAACAGTGGTGAAGGACTTAGTTTCATTTAAGCAGCCTCACAGACTCTGCTCACAGCATCTTTCTTACAGCTGTGCAGCCCTAGCAGAAGAACTGATGACTGAAGCTCATGGTTCTGTGGTTGTGGGTGTGGGTTTTTCACTGTCCCTTCCTTGTCCTATGCCTCTTCCCAGCCACTCTGTTAAGACCCTCTGTCACCATTCACTTTTCGCTGGTTCATACCAGACAGCACTGAAGCAAAGAATGAAATCAATCTAAACTTGAAGAAATAGCATGTAAGACCTACTCAAGGGTTGGAGTGGTGTCCAGAGGGGCAGGACAGGCGCTGCTGAAGTCAGCACTGCTGAAGTAGCACTGTTGAAGTAGCACTGTTGCCTGCAGAAAGGTGCATGGCACTACAGTCTACCATGGATTTAAGAAATTTCTTACTGTTTCATTAAGACAGGGGTCTTTGCTAAAATTAATAAATGTTTGGAGCAAAGGCCAAACAGCCTTTGCCTTAGATACATTGTTGACAGATGCAGTATTAAATACAGACAGCATTCACACCACCTCTTCCAAAAAGTAGGTAGAATATACAAATCTTACCCTTCAGGCCTAAAAGCTTAGATGCTGTATGGCAGGGCCAAAGTGCCTCCAGCTGTGTGACATTAGCTACAAGAAACTAAGGAACACAATTAAAACAATCAAAGAAGCAGAAAGCTCACCAAAATATGCTTTCAAAGAAAACAAGTCAATCACAGCAGCCTTGTTGGCAACCAGTGTGAAGCAGCCGTAAGTTGTATGGCCTTAGATATATTATACATGGAATTTCCAGAAGCAGGAAGGGTGGTCATGATGCAACACAAAGCCCTGGCTAGACCTGTTGTGGAATATTAAGTACAATTCTAGCCACTAGTTTAAATTAATCTTCCTGCAAAAAAGTGTGGAAAGGATTGTCAGGATGGTCAGAGGAGGTAAAGTCTGTCACATGAGAAGAGCTTGGCTTAGTCTAGTGAAATTTAGCTGGGAACGAATATGAATGATGTTTTTAATTATAAGGAAACATAATAATCAATGAGGAAAAAGAAGAATAGACTTAAACTGCTTATGTTGAGGTTGAAAACCCTGCTCACTACACCTAAAACTTTTTGGTGAGGAATAGCAAGATGGAGTTCCTTGGGAGAAATAATAAATGACATGATGCTAATAGTCAACCACGTTTGGCACTTGTGCTCATATCCACCGCAAGGTAGTCTTGACAGTGGCCAAATAGTCATGTAATTAAAGTTACACTGCACAGCTTACACCATAACAATTTCGTGATCACCCAAGACATACATCTGGAGAACAGGTACAAAAGAAAGGCATGTGAGAACCCAGGAAAGCCCTATCAGTGAAAACCGACGTAAGATTTCGGGGAAATATGTATACATCGAACTAGATTAAATACTGCCACAGGATACACAAGCAGTAAAGCAATTCCTAATCACACAACTGAGAAAAAAGGGGCGGGAGAAACTATTTAATACAAGCTGCCACATACCAAGCAAAAAAAAAGTGAAGAAACTTTCCAACTTTAACACATGGCACTAATCTACATGCTGCTTCCCATGACACACTGCAGAACTACAGTCTAGGCTCTAACAGACCATATGAAGGAAAATTAGCATAAAATCAAAGATGCAAGATGTACCAATTCCTTCTTAAAAAGAAACAATCCAGTGATTTACAGTTTGAGAGAAAGGTTTCCAAGGCCCTCCCAAAGGAATTCCTCCTCCCTACCATATGTATGCACGAACAACATTATCATTAAACAAATGCTTCCACGATCACAGAATCATAGAATCATTTAGGTTGGAAAAGATCTTTGAGTCCAACCATTAACCCAGCACTGACAAGTCCACCACTAAACCACATCCCTAAGTGCCACATCTACACATGCACCCCACTTTCCAATAATCAGCATCTTTTGTTTGAAAAGTGCATGTTCTGCTTTGATTGCATCTGTGCTACCTCTGTGATATGCTCTAAAGAATGAACCCCATCCCTGAGTGAAGTAGGAAGAGAGCCCATCTGACATTTTGACCATTCTTCCCATGGTCAGGAATGTATGTAGTTCTCTCTTGTGAGTGTGAGCTCAGGCTGCAGCTTTATGGTAGCAGTGGCATTCAAATAGTTTCTTCTCTTTTCCTGGCATCTGCTTTCACAGAATTTGTAGAAAGACAGTTCTACTTAAGACTTTTACTCCTCTTTCAATTTTGGTTTTATTAATCAATGGATGCAAAAGTTATGGATGGAGAGGAAAAAAGGAAGGAAAAGGCACAAACATGATCACGGAAAACTTATTTCCATAGGAAATGAGTAAAAAATCTGCATGTGGAAGTATAGATTAAACATCCTCTGTTTCTTTTCCAGCTGCTCACCAATACAAAAATTTAATTCTTCTATGACCTTGAACAAGTCACTGTGCCATAGAAAAGTAATTAAGTTGGTCAGGAAAGGTACTTTCCCTCTCTGGTCCTTGTGGATCTTCTTTTATTTCAAATGCCAAGTAGAGGCTTCCTTTTATTATGTGGTCTTTCAGAATTTAATACAGTGCAGCCTTCATCTTGGTTGCAGCTTCTAAATACTACAGTTACCCAATCATAACATGGAATTAAAAAGAAAACTGTAAGCAAATTAAGGTGTTTAATTAATAAGCAGCAAAATACAGATGAAACTCTAATCTTTTAAATCCATATATTAATGTTTTTTTAATAAGATAATCTCCAAATGCAAACTTTCCGCTAAGTAACCAGGAGATAAAAAATCATATGTTCTTATATCTACTTATTAGAGTTATAGATAAAGACTTGGGGTTTATAAAAGCACAGCAAAAGTTATAACATCCAAAGCTAGCTGCGTATCAATATTTGGCTTATGTGGAGATCACTCTGACATTTATGTAATTATCAGGATCTAAATGGAAAGAGATAAGAAACCAAAACAGCAGTTCTCACATGTGGCTATCAGGAATTTCAGATGTAGTCACCATGTACAAAGAAATAATGACATGATTCCATTTCAACTCCACTGTCACACACTGAGAAAATACCATGCATTTGCTCAGGCATGTGTAGTCACAGCAACAGCTAGAATTTTTGACCCTCTGCTTTAAATCATGTATACCTGGCAAATCATGCACCAGATGGCTTTAAACTGTCTGCAAAAAACAGCTGTATAAGGCTTTAGTATCATAACAAGATGATAAACATATGATGTTCTTGTGACAAAGTCATTATGATTTAAGCAGTTTGTCAAGAAACTCGTTGGTACTTCTCAGGATCCTATTTTGCAATGGATCTACCACGACAGTGGTTTTATTTTATATAGCAGAAATTATTATGAAGCAGACAGTTTTATGAACCCAGGTATCTACTTTGGTGGGAATGGAACAGTGAATGAATCACAGGACTTTCTTAAAGGCAGTCAGTAATGGTGTTTGGATAAGAAAAGCACCAGCAAAGTAGCTGGGTGTCAGTCACAAAAGAACAGAAACGTCAATTCTCCTCCAGGATTTTGAGAAGTCTAAAACTAATTTATATGTTGACTTGTGTGCAAATTATTTTTATAGTGAATTTTTACACTTTTGCTCATTTCAACCTGTAGATTATCTAACTCTAGTCTCACTTCCCACAGTGAATAAATGAACTTCCTATTTAATACTACAGCTGCACCTCAGGAGAAAAGATACCAGAGAAGTTTGTATTGAGAAGATGCAAAACCTGACAGATAGATAGTCCTGCCTTTCACTGACGAAACTGATTCTGAAACTATTTGGTTTTTTAATAGTGTAGCATCCTAGTCTGCCCTGTGATAATTAGAGTAGGTAAATTCATTAAACAAAGCCGATACTTAAGAAGTTCTATAGGTTTCTGCAAAAAAGATGCATACAGGATGGCCATTAAAACAACTTGATACTTAGCAAGCCAAATGTAAAAACCACTATGAGCCAGTCTTCCTAGAGTCATTCTGGCCAGAAGTGCAGTCCCTGTAGTATTTCTGGTTTCTTTGTAATTTCAGAAGGTGTCTCAAACACCATGTGAGTGCCATCATATAAGACTTGAGCTAGAAAACTGTATAAAATAGACACAGCAGAGAAATCTATTTTTAATGTCCTCTGAAATAACACAAGAAAAAAAAAATCCAGATTAAGCTTTTGGTTCCATCTTAGCCAAAAAAGCCAG